AGAATTTTTACTGTAGCGTTTCCTACAATATTTCTAACCTCCCTTGCTTTCTTAAAATTTATTTTTAACAATCCAGTCCTAAGCACTTTTTTCAAAATAGAATTTCCATTCTCATAAGTATTTACAGTACACAGAAATAATAACTACATTCCATAGTTACAAAATGTGGGTCAATTACGTACAATATCTCACCATAAAAACAATTAAAGAATCCTTTTTACCCATGGGAAGGTATTACATGCACAGGAACAAGTAAGCCAAATCACTTGTTAAGAATTCAGATTGCTAAAACTCATGTCTCTATAAACCAAGAACAAAGAAAAAAGTTCCAGAGCAACTCAGAAAATCAGCTTTTCACTCATCACAGGGTGGCCATGCCAAGCATTCTTAGCAAGGGTAATTCCCAGTGGGCTTTACTACAAATAAATATATTCAACAGAGAACTGCAGTGTTTACTATGAACAACTATGAAATCACTAGAACTCACTTATAAATATAAAGCCAGAGATCTTAGTTAAGCTCTCTACTTCGTGTACAGTAACACTGTTCCCATTAGTTTTCAGTTCTTCAATAATGCCTATTTTGTAGTATACCAAGGGCTATGCAAACTAATAGGATGATGAAAAATGTTAGTCAAGAAATAAATTCCTTCAATTTTATTAAAATGTCCAAGTATGCATACTTCAATTATTTATTAATAAAGACAAAACTGTGTAAACATCTGGTTAAATATATAATTGTAATACTACTCAATTATTTCCTTTTCCTGATTGCAGTTTAACATGAACAACAGCATGGTCATGCAACACCAACTGCAATTTAATGAACTCACTTGCTTCTACAAAAGCTTTTAAAGCTTCCAGTTGTTCCACTCCTGAGAGCTGAATTGCTTTCTCCAGTATCTGTCGATACCTGCCAGAAAGTTGTAAAAATAAATGGCAGTTAACTCTACATCCTAAACAGGAACTCTGTATTTCATTTCTTCTAACTTTTAGATAATACCACACAAATAAGCTTGAATGCTTTTTCTTAACCTATAAAAGTTATCCTATTCTCCTTTACTTCAAGTTCCTTATCACTCTTGGAACTTGGTTTATGACAGGTGGCAGATCTAAAATTTGGGTGACCATTTTGTTTTCAGAACAGAGAGGCTATCCTTTTGTTTTTTGAATAAGTGTTGGATGTAATTGTATACTTGCAATATATGCAGTCACCTTCTCTCAGCCCTAGGAAGGAGGCAATAGCAAACCATTTCTGAAAAACCCTGTCAAGAAAACTGCAGACAGTCTCCAAGAATTGGACATGGTTGAACAGACTAATAAAAAATAAAATATGCAACCCTGCAGTTTCCATCAAAGTAGAGATGCCCTCAACTCCTAACATATCCATGCAGTTTTTTGATTGAAAAATGAAAATGATTTGCCACTGCCATCTTCCTATAACACTAGAATTCCCTTCTGGCGTCTCATTCCAGTATTAACCAGGTCCAACCTTGCTTAGATAATGAGCAGAGGTTCTCAGGTGGTCAGCCAGGTTCTGCCAGACATCATTAGCCAAAGAATCTGCCTCATTTTGATTCTTCACTTTTCAAATTCTTTTACATGTTTGCACTATTTGTTACGAGAAGTTCTGGAGAACTGAGACTATTGCATAATTTTGTGTCATTTTGGTTAGTTTTGCTAGAAGTACTCAATTACATATTTTAATATTACAAGATTGTACAAAAAAGTGGGTTGATATTTAAAATCAGTTTTACATTATGTCTTGAGCTCACAATAAAACCAATAACCAATGTCTACACAGTGCTGCCAAACTACAGAGGTTGCTTTAGAATGTCATGACCCTCCCAACTGTTTTAGAATACATTGCTTTTCATTTAACATGATGTGACAGGATGAGCTGCCATGATACAAGAAACTGCTGTTCTCACCATTGTAAATGTTAAGAGTAAAGATCATTTTCTTTGGTGGTCTGACAGGGGCATAGCTGAAGGAATGAAGGTGGTTAGAAAAAAAATCCTAACTCCTTGGAGCACCTACAATCTGGAATACTGTATAAGTTTTTTTGGAAACAGCATATATAACAGCCAGAGTAAGTAGGTGGGGTGGGTGACTTCAGGGCCTACAGGAGATGTTAACAGTGAGAGGGGCAATTGGACAAGCAGGGGACTGAGAAGGAGTAGTGATCAGATGAGCAGAGGATCCACAGCTAAAGAGTGGAGAACCAGGGGTTATCTGCAGTAGACTGAAAAGGAACCAAGTGGAAAAGACAAATACATAACAAGGCAGCTCTGGACTGACTACCACTGGAGAGCCAAAAGTCGGTCAGGTGCGGGCAAAGGGGTTTAGAGTAGAAGGAAAATGTGAGTGTTCTCTTTCTTCCCCTACTTTAGGTAGCAGATGGCTTTTCTTCCTCAAGGCTGAAGCAAAACTAGCTAAGAAAGGAATCAGCATTCCACAGCATGCAATTAGATAAGCAAGGGTCAGAGAAGGAAGGGGGCAAAAGCAATGTGTTTATACTTAGGAAATTTTAAGGAACTTTTAGAAAGACGCTTGATAAAGGCATATAGAATATTTTTGTTACGTTAGCCTTATAACTAGGTATTAACATGTGCACTAACTTAGAATAGAAATAGGACATTGTATATAGACATAAACTGGACTAGTTCTTTATTACAATCCATTGTAAAGAGTAATAAATGTTACTTTGATTAATACCTCAGCTGTATGTGTGACTGAATTGATTCCTATTCTTACATAATCTCTTACACATGCTTTAAATGCTTGAAAGCAGGATAAAAATACTAAGTTTCTGAAAACTCTTGTGACATGCACTGCAGATTACAGGAGGGAAATTTATTCTGAGAACAGTTTTCCATTCTACAGATACTTTCAGTCCAAATAGAAACATCTAACATCTAACACGTCGGTTACTTTTCCTCCTATAATGAACTGAAGGGGACATCTTCAACTATTGCAGCAATAAGTAGTCAATTCATGGAACATGCATCAGTTCAGTCAAGTCCATGTTTTCTCTTTCCCACCTTTCCTAGACAGAAATCACCATCTTATGAAAACTGTCTTTTTTTAGCAACACACTCTTTAGCATTTAACTTCAGGCAGAGGGTAAAAAAGGTCAAGGTAGCAGGTGCAGCACTGTAACTTGAAACCTGGCCCTTTTGTATATATGTTGGTGCACATGCATACAGAGCAGGGCTTCAATTGAATTGTCATGAGTACCTCTTCCCTTTTTTTGACCCTCCCCTACAGATACTGCTGCTTATATAATATTGTTAATCTCAACCCTGACAACACTTGGGTGAAATATTATGACTATTGGCAAATACTCTGCTGTCTATGTATGGAGGTGATTGTGGTGGCAGGTGGGGGTACCTGCAGGTATGGTCAAGTCTCATCTGAGCCAAGCTTAACTCTTGGTAACTTCACGTCGATGGTGTTTTCTTGGCAACAATAAGGAAGTAATTGCCATTGCTTTATTCAAGGATTTTAAAAATGTTTTCCAGCCTAGCCTACAAACTTGCTATTTTATGGAGGTTTCCTATCTAAGTACTAACCAGTTCCCACCCTTAGTTTTTGGAGATTAACCAGAACAATACCCTTTTGACTCAGATCTGCCCTTTGAACTGTAGCTTGGTTTCCACCAATTCTCAGATGAGCATGCTTAACATTTAAAAAAGCACTAAAAATACTTCTGTTTCACAGTCTCCTATGAAGTCACTTTAAAATACATTTTCATCTGTTACTTTGAATGTACAAATATTAATAGAGAGCCAGTTTGGTGTTGTGGTTAAGGTGCTGGCCTAGAAACCAGGAGCCTATGAGTTCTAGACCTCCCTTAGGCATGAAAGCCAGCTGGGTGACTTTGGGCCAGTCACTCTCTCTCAGCCTAACCCACCTCACAGAGTTGTTGTGGAGAAAATAGGAGGCAGGAGTATTAGATATGTTTGCTGCCTTAATTTGACTAAATATATATATATAAAAGGTGGGATAAAAATCTAATAATAATAATAATGGTCATGGATCTTTTTGCTTATTGGCTCCTTGTTTTATATTACGATACTCTAGTTAATTGTAGCATATTATTGCATTAATGGTTGCTTTATACCATGTTTGTACTACGTTAAGTTATAAGCCCATAATAGGAGCCAGTCTGGTGTAGTGGTTAAAATGCTGAGTTAGAAACTGAGTTCTAGTCCTCCCTTAAGCATGGAAGCTGGGTAGATGACTTTCTCTCAGCCCAGCCCACCTCATAGGGTTGTTGTCATGGGAGCATTATGTACACCTCCTTGAGTTTCACAAAATAAAGGCGAGATATAAATCCGATCATAAATAAATACACGAAAAATAAAACACGTCTGCTACTGAACCTACTATTGCTGCTACTCGCTGCCATTCCGTTAATCTATTTCTTTGCTAGATATATGTTCTCCTTATGTATGTTATCCCCGTATCAGTAATCCGGAGAGGTCGTCGGGATGAGAAAGAGTGACCTGACCTGAACCCGGGTCTCCAGCTCCGAACCGCAAACTAGTCACTCGTTCCTGTAGGCCCATCTGTGGTTTCCCTCGGCTAATAACCCCACTCCGGCCTTCTCAGTCTCTCAGAATCGAGACCCACTCCGGCTTCATCTCTTTCCACCCCCTGCCCAATCCGCTATCAGTAACCGGGAGGGGAAAAACGGCTGTTGGGGCCGCTTCACTCACTTCCCCGCCAGGTCCTTGTGGGAGCCGCTGGAGCTCATTAGTTGGGTCAGCTCCTGCCTCACGGAAGCCGCCATTTTGCTCGCCCGGTTTCCAGGCTCGCCCGTCCCTCAGGGAGGGGAAGACGGCACGGCCCCGGACGCCGCTGCGTAACCACAGAGCAGGTCCGCCTAGAGCGGACGGGCGCTGGTCTCCCCCGGAAGCGCCTGGGCGGGAGAAAAAGAGGCGGCTAGCGACAGGTGGGCGGGAAGAACGCCGGAAGTCGGGCGAGCTTTGAGGAGGGAAGGCGGGAGAATGGAGTATAGGGGATGAAGCTCCGTAGGGGTGGCGCGACGTCGGTTGTCAGGGCGCCGTAGCCGGCTATTATGGGATGCGGCGGCGTCGGAATGGCGCTCGGCGCGTGATTTTGAACCGACACGGAGCCTGCCGCCGGGCTCGGCTGCTGTTGTGGCGAGCCGGCCGCGCGCGGGAGCGAGCCCTGGCCAGGCGCGCGCCGGCGGGGCGGACGGAGAGCGAGGGGGAGAAGCGAGCGCCGCCCCCGCGAGGCCTCCGCAGGTGAGTGCCGGCGTCGGGAGGGCTGAACGGCTAACGGTGAAACGGGGAGCGAGCGCCTTGACAGGACCAGGAGCAGGACCTGCCTGCCTGCCTGCCCGCGGGCTGTCGGCGAGCGGGGAAGGAGGCTGCCCGAGCTGTGGCCGCCCTTCACCACCCGCCTCTCCCTCCCCCTCCGCGGGGCGGGGACTGCCAGACCTGGGTTGGGAAGCGCCGTGGGAACCATCGCGGCGCCGTCCAGACGTGAGGCGGTTACAGCTCCGCGTCAGGTTGGCGAAGGGCGGCCTTCGCTTTATGGTGAGAAGCGAGAGGAGCGCGAGGGTCCCCCGGGTTGCCATTCGCCTCTGGCAACGATCGCAGATGGACGGGCAGAACTCGGCCGTAGGTGTTGCTCGGAAGCGGCAGTTTCAAGTACTTTGTTAGTGCTGTGAAAAAATAAACCAACAGAATATATTCCCTTAGCTTCCAAATAAACCCCTAGCTGGAAATGATACTTGGTCGGAGGAGTCTTTGTTTTTTTTTTTTTTTTTTTGAGAAAGAGGGAGAGGGGAAAAAAAGTTGAAGAAATTTAGTTTGCATAATACATACCCGTCCTGCCATTTCCTTTTGGGGGTCGGCAACGTTATGTAAGGTGCAGAAAAGGAAAGTCAAACAAAGAATTGTGAGATAAGAAAGGAAAACCTAACCAAATCTAGTGGTCGCCAGCATCATTCAGTATCTCTCTCTATACTTTCCTGTCTCTGCAAACTATTCTTGCTTCCGCCACTTCATATGTTGCCTTTTTTTATTATTTCTGATCAAGATTCAGAAAACAAGTCTGTTTTGTAAAAAATGAGAGAGATTTTATTTGCTATTAAAGGAGCCTTAATTCATTCTTCCTGTCCTAAATCTCTTAGTTGTCATTCTACTTTTGGCAAGTACATTTCAGTTCAGTAGAATTAGTAGTATCTCCTGAAACCATTTGTGATGATCCATTTCTCACAAAACAAAATCAGCCAATGGTGAAGTAAGTTTATATAAAACATATGCACTTGTGGGTGGGTGGAAGAATATGTAAAAATATTTGAAAACTAATATGAATGTTGTTTAATAAGTTGCTTTATAACTATGTTGGTTTTGTGAAAATGCTATTAGGAGGAGGCAAATCTACTGAATGCTTAGAGCTAAATAGTGATGGCATGTTAAGACCTTAATCCGTTTATAAGGCTGTGCAATTTTTCAGTCCAAGAACTGCACTTGGCATTTTGCTGGCATGCTAGGGAGTAGACATTAAAAAGTAGGTGACGCCAAGGTAAAAGTAAAATTTTATTTTCATTCCTCGGGTGGCTCTGGAGGCTAAATCCAAAGTTTTCAGTGGTTGTCTGCAGCATTGGGCCACACATTGTGAGCTTCTGGTCTATAGTATAAAAGTTTTAAATGTAATTTAAACTGGGATTGATTTTGTTATGTGTGGATCAAGATCAATTTAGGAAATGGAATCAGGGCTTTATCCTAGTTTAGCATGTAGGTGCTGGCATTCAGACTGTTTTGTAACTGCTGAAGTTATAAGGCTGATAAACATGTAATATTGACATATACAGAATTTTCCTTGCTATTTTTTGTGATATGATTGTTGTTGCCAGTGGGTTGGCAAGATATTCATGCTGATGACAACCTAGTGCAAGGGAGGGAAACCTAAAGTTGCCCGGATGTTGCACTGTAATTTGGCAACAACTGGAGAGTCACATTTTTATTGCTAGTATCATGTATGTGCACAGTGTTTACGCTGTGGTCTGTGGTATAGCATGAGTCTTACAGTTTTTCTCATGAGTGTGATTTACAGAATAAGTTGCGTATATACATGGGTTTAACATTTGCCATGCTACGATGCCATTTTAATTTGACTATTAAGAGGTGTGCTAACTGCTTATAGAAGCGGAGCTTGTCACTCAAACAAATCCAAGGCTCAGATTCTGTGTGCAGTCTCATAGCTGTAAGCTTCTTTGAAGTCAGCTTTACTTGTATGTAGATACGTACTGTAATATGTTAGTTGTTAACTCAAGCTTTGTAGTTCTGTGTATAGAATCTGTTTGCTTTCCCGATCTGAGTTTCATTCTTGAGAATTCTGCAGGTGACCCAGTAAATGTTTTCTGAGATACTGTACACAGTTTTGTACTGCAGCACCTGTGTCTCTGCTCTTGTATTTCTATACTATATCTTCAAGATCTTAAAGGTTAATTTCTATTAACATTAGGAATGGCAGCTGTTGGAGACTTTCCGTGCCATTTTTAATACAAGAAACTGGATCACGAGCAAGAACTGTGCTGTACGCTCAAGATGAAAGGTTCTGCCTCATAAATCCGCCACTTTTTCAATTGTGCGAGCCACTACAGTCTGTTAAGGTGCCGCAGAACTCGGGGTGGCCGATCCGCGCCGTGGCTCTTCTGGAGCGAGTCCCGCCCGGTCCTGCAGCGGCGCCTCCATCCCGCGGCGCGGGTCCCTT